CTTCCTGACTCTGTCTCTGGAATGCTCAAGTGAGGGTTCTCTGCTGTACTCACGATTCTTGAGAAGAGACTATTTGGCTCCCCAAGTTTCATGCTTAATGACACAGGGATGTCTATCCCCAATTCCATGCAAACCTGTTGTTATCCGATAATAGAATCATCAATCATACCAAGAGCATCTAATCATATTAGGCTTAAGTGATGCATTACCCTATCAGACTCTTGCACTGACATTGGATATGGATCCAGATCATCTTTGGCCGCAACAAGAAGACAAGGGGTCCCATAACCGCTCTCTTCTCCTCTCCTTGCTACCTCCATCAGTATTTCCCTCGCCTTTTTCCATGAGTATATGTCCGAACTGGAAAACATCAAATTTTCTTGCTAAGTCTGTGATCTTGTCATCCACACATACGAGGTGCAAATAATTTCTGAGCTAACCTGTCATAGACAACCACAGCAACATCACATGCTGCCAACGATTCCTTATTTGTCAGAAACTTTTTAATTCTGTCCTCTGGTATTTCCCGCAATATGAGGGTTTTCTTAGAACCCTGAAAAATGCGTCCAACAATTAGGAAACAAAAAATCACATAAACCACGGACATGTGACAAAGAACATAAGAGTTCAGACTTTTTCTACTAACCCCAGGCTGATCAATGACATTTGCTGCATATCGTTCACCCATTGTTGCCTTATAGCTGTTCGAAAATTTCCTGGGGTTGAAACACAGCTTATAAAATATAACACGAGTAGACCAAAGGGCTGAAGATGACACAGCATAAGAATGATACATAGAAATTGTTAGAACTAGCATACCTTCCTAAGAAAGAATCGAGGAGTGCAGACTTTCCAGATTTTTTAGGGCCAAATACAAAGCACTGAAACACATTCCTTTCTGTTCGCTGCTTCTTACGATCCACTGATCTTTTCCTAGTAACAGAAAATGTTGAAGCTGGGTCGTGACCATAACCGATATATATCAGGTTTGCCAAACTTTTTTGAGGATCTAGAAGAGTCATTAGAGCCCACTGCATCAACATATTTACAGAGCATAATTAACAATCGTAAAGAATATTGAATCTGATAATTGATCATGATGAGTTGATGACAATGAAAGCATGATTCTAATTCAGTGTCAACATAACAGCAAGCATACAAACCTCAGACAGAAACCCATTGATTGTCAAACGTCCGCCTGGCGTTTTCTCTGCAGCATCTTTATAAGGAGCCTCAAGCCAAGGACTGAAATTGTAAAGCAGATTGTACATGTAAACGAACTTATTCCGGCAATACACAAGAGCATTAAAGACATTGACAGGCAAATTCAAAAGAAAGAAGGTTAATTCACTAAATAATCATTGGATTAACAGTTGATAACTACCGATTACAAAGGGACGAATAGCGATGAATCACGCAAAAAAAAAAAAAAAAAAAAAAAGTCACCAGTACCTATCTGGAGCTGTTTGAAACAAATCATCTAGCTCAGCTGGCTGTAACGCTCCATCCTAAATAGCAGCAAAACAAAGAAGCATCAGAGAAGTACTACTGCTCCTTGAGGGTGAAATAAGCTTTTAGGTGATAGAGAACAACAGAATCGTTGTTGGATAATTGAAGAAACGATCATACACACATTATCAAGGTCATATAACTGGAAGATTCCACTGAGAAAGTCCATGGCTTCGTTTGTTAGCTCGATGCTCTGCAAGTGAAATACAGGAAATGAGTGCAAAAATTATTTAAAAGCAACCAGCCAGTTTCTTATATCCTTTAAGTAACATAACAATTTAAAGATATTTTCGTAAATAAGCACTATCTAAAACAACACACACCTGATCAGGAGACTGCTTTGCTGGAACGGGTAGTAACTTGGCGCTGAGTTCTAAAGAATCATTGTAACCACATTTCCGTAGGATAGCCCATGCTGTCTCAGGGCGACCTCTCTCGATGAATAGAGAAAAAAGAAAAAGGAAACCCGGAAGTGTAAGACCAAGATGAGTTACTCCATCTGGTTGCCTTTCTTGTACCACTTTCTTAACTCCCATAAGTTCAACAGGGTCAAGTGGGGCACCAAAAAAATTTACCTGTTAACCAAATTTGCAGCATCATATTTATAGAAGGATTAGGAACTTTCATGAATGAAATAATCAGTGTCTAACAGAGAAAGCGAACCTGAAAATCATTCAACTCTGCGTCATTAAGGGCACCATCCAAATCATGATCACAGAGGTTGAATATTCTTTGTACTGCCCTGCGGAGGCGAGGTTTCAAACAGTGTTTTTCTTGATCAAACAACGGAAATGTTGGGTGAAGGACCGCTTTTGATGCAAAATAGAAAACATCAGGGGCCTGAAAGAAAAGAATCCAGATATTTTAGTGGCATACAATAAGGATCTCTCTGGACATGGTTCAATCACATAAAGAACTCAATTGTGAGCATGGTTTTGCTCGGTCTTTCAGTATTATCTGCTCTAAAGGTTCCTAGTATCTTTTACAACATTTTCCCTCTTAGCCAAAAGATAATAGCCTAGTCTTTAAACTGTATCAGAAGATATTTCGGTCAGCAAGAACATACCTGTATAAGGGTCAATGCAGAACACTCTATACAGGTTTCTATCTCCCTGTACTCCTTCATGATTGGTGCCATGATAACCTCTAGTCTTGCGGGAGATCGTTCATCCCGTAAATCAAGCTTGCAGCCCACCACAATTACTGGTGCTTTGATCTAGATACATACACACCTATATATAATTATAACATGAAAACATACTTGAAGGAGAATGAATATACGATATTTCACCAATCAATCAGAAACCTCTAAACGCCGGAGCTCAGGGAGCCAATAAGAACTTAAGCGATCAAGAGTTGCAGGCTGATCACATGCATAGGTGAGAATGACCACATCAGCCTTCCTGAATTCTTCAATGAGCTTGATCCTATTGTCAATACTGATAGCAAATAAACATGACAGATATCAGTAGATTGAGGATCATGCGTACAAATTCAAATCAATGAAACAATGAAGGAGCCATTGTTTGCGACCATTGGCAATCTTGGATAACAATACAAAGAAAATTTGCAAATACAGATAGAGAAGGGAAAGCAAGAAAGAAGACCTTGAGGGAGTATCGACAATGGTGATAGGAATATAGTCAGGGAAAGCGTCGGCGGGGAGAGTAATCGGAGGAAGGACGCGAGGGACATTATCAGGGAAAGTTTCGGAAGCGACGGCAGAGATCAGGCTAGATTTACCGGTTCCTTTGTCGCCAGCGACGGCGACTCTGAGGCTTGTACGGCTACCGGTAGAAGACTTTCCACCGAGCATCATCGGAGTCGAAAACTGAGAGAGGAAATTGGCGGTTATTGTTTCGGAGATGAGATTGATCTACCAACGATGTTTGTTACTTCGCCGGCAGAGAATGGATGCTCCATATATCTATTCGGGTTGACCCGACATCACGGATCTTCCAGCATCATAAATGGGCCTTTCCAATTTCATTTTCTAGAACTAGAAGTCATCATGTATCTATTCACTATACGACGCCGTTTTAGCGTTCACGCTTGTTAAAATTTTAATAGAACAACTACAATTTTTCTTACCATTTTTTAGAATCAGTTTTCTCACTATGCTCGCTCTGTTATTGCCATTTATCTCCATATTTTCCTTTATATATATATTGATATGACGCACTACTGGACACTGGCTTGTAGATATTGAGGAACATAAATAATTAAGTAGAGCATAAACAATGGAGCTCAATTCAGCCTGTTTTACTACACTGTAACTTCATTTGAACTTTCCTTAGACCATCTCCAACAAGGACCTTCATTTTGAGGGTAGCAAACCCTCAAAATAAGGATTTGAGGGTCACTTACTCCAATGGCACACCCTCAAATTTATTTTGAAAACTTTTTGTATTTACATTATAGTCCTCAATATTAACAATAATCAGTTATAATGGTAAAAGTTTTATAAATAAATATAAAACCTACATTTTAAAAACAATTATGTCAAACAATATTAGAAAAAACTAAACTTTACATGATAATACAAAACTATATAGAAATTAGAAAAGAAACATAAAATAAAACATAAAAATGATTTATAAAATTACACATAAAATTACAAAATTACTCGATATAAAATATTTCCATAATGCTCACATACATAAAAATGATTTTTTTTGGAAATGTTATGTTTTTATATTTGAATTTATATGAATATATTCGAAATAATTGAATTTAATAAAATTATTTGTAAGATATATAAAGTATAAGGACTAAAATGAAATATAAGAAAGATTTTGAGTGTGTGAATAGTGCACCCTCAAATTTGGGGGTGCACTATTCATACCCTAAAAAAATAAGGGTTTGTGGGTTTGTTGGAGTTCAAAAAACCTTCAAATTTGAAGGTTTGAGGGCTTGTTGGAGATGCTCTTACAACGACTTTTATATTCTTTGCGCTTGGGTAGCCAGCCAAACTTATATTTTCCTTATTATTTCTTTCATTTATTTCGTTTTCTTTGGAATTCTTTATATTCTTTGCGCTTGGGTAACATGTTCTTTGGAATTTTCCAAATTGAGTTAAATTGGGTTTCAAATCGGTTTATTATTCTGGGTTTTGGTTTGGCATCGGGTTCGGCACAGTAAACCAATGATAAACCACGAAATTTCAATTTATGGAGACTGGGGTCTCGAACTTTCAATTTAGGGGGAAACTGGAGTTTAACTTTCGTTTTGTGTGGACTGGACGAAACCCAAAATCTGTGTTGTTATGGTACTATATGAAACTTCGTGGGGAGACACATGTCGTTCACCCCATAAAAATTAAACAAGTGCCAATCAGTATCTGACATTTTATAGAAAATGATTTTTATGTTGCAAGTTAGAAACTAATTTTTTATATATTTTATTGTAATGTAAAATGTATACAACTTTTAATAATAAGATTGAACATCAAACTGATATTACCAACAAAAAGAAGAAACAAAAATCCGAAATGACTCATAAACAAGAATTTTTTTTTAAGCAAAGATTATTTATTACCAACAAAACCCAAGACAATCAGGAAAATAAAACCAATTACATCGTCGTATCTCATTGATTTTATTATTCCCTGTCGGGATTTTATTTAAAAGGGAAAAGGGCGATAAATTAAAAGCATTGTCGAAGCAGTAAAAACGGAACGATATTACAAAAGAAACACAACATTTGCTTAGTTTCATTAAGACATCTCTCTCCCGCAGAGGCTTATTATTTAAAATTGTGACCATATTCAGGGGACCGACGGGGGAGGAGCGGTGGCATCGTCGGAATCGGATTTGTCCTTTGATGAGCTCAGCTTCTTGAACAACGGCTTAAACACGAACTCTATCGCCAACAATCCCACTGCCAACACTCCCACAACAACCGTCGCTGTCTGTTTCTTGCCTGTTGGTTTCTCCAATTTTGGGAAATGAACTTCTCCTCCTGACTTCTCCACCATTGCTGCTTCTTCACCTTTTTTCACTGAACACCCTTTGTCCTCAGACTGATTTATCTTCAACAACTTTAAAAGAAAATAAAAGCAGCGATAGATTTCAAAATATCTCGAGTAGTCACGTTTTCGACCGTCGATGTAATAATCGACGGTCAAATTTTGATGAGAGGAAAGGTGGTCGCTAATGCATTAATTTGGGCTTACTATGGGCTGAATTGGGCTTCTTGCTAGAAAACAAATCTCGGTGTCATGAATAAGACAAGTTTGGTTGATTCTAATTTCTAAATGAATTTCAATCGAACACGGAAGATAAGAGTACGCAAATAGTGGACCTCTCATGACACATCTTTAATTGTATTATGATGAAACGAAACGAAACGAAGTCAGACCCCTTTTTCAATTTCTACTCTAGCTTTCTCAAGATATTTTTCGTTAATGGAATCCTATTATTATTAAAATATAGTATTATTTATGTTTAGAAAGTTACACATGCTGATTGTGTGACTCGTGATAATATCTCCCAAACATTTTAGCATAAAAGGATAATATCCCCCCCCCCCCTCGTGATAGTATCTATCGTCGGCCTGTCTAAAAATGAGCAAAAGAAAGCCCAAATAGATCCTGTCCGGAACATGAAAGCCTTTTAGTAAAACGAGGAAAGCCCAAATAGAGCCAGTCCGGAAGAGTCGAGGTCACGTGCAATACAGGTGTCAATTAAAGCAGGAGTTATTGTCGCTGAATCATATCAATGGCGTGTTAGAATGCTAAAAGAAGAAGAAGAGTGTAACAAACAACTAAAAAAAGTTAACTTACAACACTCACACCAAAAGACGATGGTTTCGTTTCGCTTCCCTTTCTCGTTTTCTCAGCCCCCGCGTGCCACGTCGTCATTCTCCGGTTTCTCCATTTCCGCTGTCGCTGTCTCCGTCACCGTTGGCGCCGGAGCTGCGATCGCGGCGTCGCGGAATCCCAATCATCCGATTGTGGAGTGGGCTTTATCCTCTCACCGTTCGTCTCTGTTACCATGGGGATCCATAACTCTAGCCGACTCTACCCCCGAATCCGTTGTTGAACCTAAGACCGGTTTCTCGTTTCCCGCTTCAATTGGAGATTCGCGGCGATTACTCGGCGTGGGCCTGAGGAAGAAGAGCTTACTGGGATTGAAGAACATCGATGTCTACGCCTTCGGTAACTTCTAACCCATTTCCGAATCTGTTAGTTGAAATGTCCTTGTCCGTCGTGATTAGCTGATTGCTATTTCCCAAATGCAAAGATTCGGATTGGTAGGTCTTTAATTGGAATTGATCAAGAACTTTTTACTTGTCGCAATCTAAGTCACAATCGTTTGTCATTAAAGGATAGGAGTGAAGTAGTTGGTTTTGATATTTTAGCAATACGAAAAGTTGGGTTTTGGAATCATTCAATTGATTGATTGAGCTTTTCTGGGATCGGGCAGGCGTGTATGCTGATTGCCATGATGTGAAGAAACTTGTGGGAGACAAGTACGCAGATCTTCCAGCTTCGGAGATCAGGGGAAACAAGGCATTCATGGATGATCTCATGGAAGCCGATATTAAGATGACTATAAGGCTGCAGATTGTCTACGGCAAACTCAACATTCGATCCGTGCGCAATGCTTTTCAAGAATCTGTTGGAAACAGACTCAACAAGTTTGGTGGCCCAGACAACGACGAGTTGCTTCAAAGGTACTATAACACTTACATTTCAGCTTCGTTTTCCAAGATAAAGCATATTATGATCGTTGCACTTCTCATCTGATTTTGTGTTTGGCTGCTGAATAATTTTTACTTTGATTGTCACTTGTAGCTTCACTAGCCTCTTCAAAGATGAGTATAAGATTCCAAGAAACTCCACCATTGATTTGACTAAAGAACCAGGTCATGTACTCTGCGTTGCAAGTAAGATTCTATCTATCTTTTAGCTTCTCAAGTAAATTGTTTCCGAGAGATTCTAAAACTCTTGTCTTTTTTCTTTTTGTTTGGTTAGTTGAGGGAAACCACGTGGGGAGTGTGCAGAGCCAACTCTTGTGTAGATCAATCTTAGACTTGTACATTGGTGAAGAACCGTTTGATAAGAATGCAAGAGAAGATTTTCTAGACAATGCAGCTTCTCTAGCCTTCGACAACTAGTTAACAAGAAGAAGAAAAACAATGTTGCTATCTTTCTTAACGGATTCTCTATATATACGGCATAATGTTGAGGAATGTATTTGAAATAAATTGCTTGGGGAAATGGGTTTTGTTAGTCTAAATATCTACACTAGTGTCTAGACCACTCATAATGATAGAACAATCGACCCCATAAAACATTAAACAATTTAGATACCGACCGAAAGCGTTTACTCCCTAGAGAAAGAGAAGAGGTGTACTTTTACTAACCACTAGGGTATTACCTCATCTAGGAATAGCCTAATTTCGAAGCAAGACACTGCAAAAATGGTGGCATCAAACGTCTGCTTCAATTGGAACTAGTACTTTAGCTCAGACAGATGACCCGGGCACAAAGTTATAATCGGTGGCACGGTCCTTCCACAAACGGGAGAGCTTTTCTGGGACGACCCGGACGCTGAATTCTCTGTCTGTTCCCGTGACAAAGGAACAGGTGATAATGGCAAGGCTTTGCTATTGCTGACCTTAGGGTTTGCTGCTTTGCCATGTGAAGCATACCCAGTGACTGAAGAAGAAGAGCCACCAGATCTCCCCTGTTTCCCCTGAGAAGGCTGCGGATTTGATGGTGCTGCAAAAGAAATCTGTGTCTGTCCGTGTGTTCTGGTCTGCTGCTGCGACTGGAACTGCTTGAGGTTCAAGGAAGTACCGGACGTGAGTGATGATGAGGTTGCAGGGTTTTTCCACTGGGATGACGGGGCAGAAACAGAATCGGCCTGCGAATGAGTCATCATTTTACTCCGACCAGATTGCTGCTGTCTCTGCGTAAGATGCTGGGTAAACACTGAAGGGTCTCCATTTATTGCTGTTGCTGCAGGAGGAGGCCAAGTACCAGAAACAAAGTTGAGGGTTCTCGATGGATTGTCAAAAACCAGCGTCTGTCCATTCATCATCCCTGGAGGCTTCCCTGGAAGATTCTTTTTCGGGTCTTCGGCATTGCTTGAACAGCTTCCACCTCCAGTCTTTGCCTCACTTGATTGATGGTTGTTCTGCTGAGTAACACCAGGAGGTGTAGAGATGATGTGATACCCATTGGAGGAGAAATTCAGAGTTGCAGGGGCAGCACTGTTGGCGAATGACGCAAACGACATGGAAAAGTTTTGTGGTTGAACAGGCGCTGTCATGATCTGGCCAAATGGGCCTCCTTTCTGAGTGTGGCTACCCCTTGAATCAGTGTTATCTCCAGCTGCTTTAGCCTCAGACTTTTGTGACATTTGACGGTGTTGTTGAACATTAGCTTGGCTTGAAAGAGTATTCACACTAACTTGCGGTTGCGGTTGCGGTTGCCTGTGGGATGATGAGGAACAGCTTGATGCCTTTGACTCCCTTTGGGCTTGACTCTGTCTCTGCAGAGGCTGAGGATGTTGTTGGAACATCTGCGGCGAGTAAAAAGACCCATTGTAGAAAGGCACGGCCTGGCTTGGAGTCCCACCTCTGATGGTTGATGACAGTTGAAAGGAATATGCATTGTTAGGAAGAACTGTAAAGTATGGAGAAGAAACTTCGCTGGCTGATGAACTTGGATGGGTGAAGTTAACAGATGCTGAACCAACAGCCACACGTGGGCACTTTGTTGGGCGAGAAGATTTAGAAGGTACCATGACTGGTTGCAAATGGTGGTTTGCGGGGAAGATGAAAGCTGGAGCTGGCTGTGTTAAGAGAGAAAGATGATTTTATTCAGGAGAGCACTTTTGCAGTTTCAATAAAAATCTAATATGATAAACACAAATTCATGACAAGATAAAAAGCCAAGGAAGTACATACCACTACACTAATTGATGCAGGGGGTGGTTGAGGTTTATTCTGTCTGGTTGAGGCAAAATGACCACTTTCAGAGGCTTTATCCTTAGGCACAGAAATATTATCTACGATTCTATCGGGTGCCTGGGAGTTTAAACTGAGAATAGGAGAGCTTCCTTGCAATGATGGGTTTCCAGCGGCTGGCCTCAAGTCACCACCTTTCAGATAAACAGAACCTTTGTTTGGTGTAGAGAGATGGTTTGTTTTGACGAAATGCTGATGTAGCTGAATGTTCCGAGCAATGAAAAAGTGTGTGGCACACCTTTTAGGCCTAGGCTGAGAGGCAGAGAATAGAGCACCCTGAATTTGTTAACAAATCATGGTCCTAACCAGTAGAAGAAACAATGATCATCATATATGAAGAACAAATGCAATTAGAACAGAATATACCTGCACCAAAGTAGAAGATCCATTGCTCCCATCCACAGGTGTACCGGTCTGGATCAGGGGTACATATCTGCCAAAAAAATTTCATTTAGGGTCTGATTATTAAGCTATAGCACAAGACAACCTAAGACAACAGATTAGTGCATTCAGAACATACCCCCGAGGAGGAACCACGCTAGGCGAGCTGCCTACAGCTACTGGCAAAGGTAAGACTGAACTATGCTGAGCTGAAAATAAGTTAGAGATAGGTCAGACAAGATAAATCTGTGTAATCCTAGAAAAATCATCAACTTTAATAACAAGAACTTGGTTTGGTATTCATAATCATATTCAAGGTTGATTACCAGATTTAGCCTGCTGAGGTTGGCTCCAATCCAAATTCTGTAAGCTTAAATTAGAGTCTCTGCCGGTCTCTTGGTTCGGACCCTCTATATCAAGATTCAGCCATTCACGTTTTTCAACCTTCTTCTGTTTGACTTCTTCTGGAGTCTTGAGAGTAACATTCTCTTTGCTCTTTAGAGAACTATCTCGCTGCATTAAGAAAGACAGAAACAGTGTTATAAATAACCAAATGGGGACATGCTTAACAAAGCAACCTATTTAAATCTACACTTGCCTTGCAATAATCAGAAACCAGTGGAAGAAGAGAAACTCTCCCTGGCGAGGAAGGCATTGTTGGAGGAACCTATTGACAGGAAAAGGATCGTTACTACATTTGGGCAGCATTCACACACACTCTTTATAGCAAAAATCTAAAAGGGCTAGATTTCTCACCATGAGATCC